TTCGTATTAGAGTTACATGCGCGGGTTTAGACAAAGTCTCCCCGAGCTAGAACAGTTCTCCTGATGATCGATTGAACCGGAATAACTGTACAGCGTTCGGCGCGATGGTCATGATGAATTTGTTGATGAGATGATCCAGCAATGGTTCGACGACTGGACCTTCCGAGACAAAACGCGAAGTCACGTGCGGTGACCCACTTGAATTTTGGGCACCTGAGTGAGCCTGCCAGCTAGGTCCCCAGTTTGAGTCGCGATGCGATGGCACGGCTTCGCCGTATCTAAATACTGTGGTTGAACACATGCAAGCCTGACGAAGAAACAAAATCGTGATGAGGTTGGCGCTAATTGACGTTGAATATGCTTCATTTCATTTCTATACCCCCGACGAGTTTCACAAGGGAGGTATCACCTTACAACTCCTTCGCTCCGCAACGCTTGAACTCCCTCCGCCGACAACCCCAGCTGTTGGGTCAATACCTCTTCCGTATGCTGCCCAAGAGTTGGCGGCACAGACCGGATCCTCGGCTCGCTCTCCGAGTATTTGACTGGTGTGTTCACCATCTTGATCGTGCCGCAGTGCTCGTGATCCATCTCTACGACCATGTTCCTCGCTTTTGTGTGCTCGTGCTCCATTGTCGCCTGCACGTCGTTAACTGCTGCATACGGCATCCCCTTGCCCTCGAATACCTGCAGCCATTCTTCGGTCGTCTTCGTCATTGAGATGCCCTCGATCAAAGCCTCCAGCTCGATGCGATTTGCGACTCTCTGGGCATTGGTAATGTACTTCGGATCGTCTTTCAGCTCCGGCCGACCCAGGCCCTCGCAGAGAATGCCGTAGAGCCGATCGTTGCCACCCCCGAAGAGAATGTCTCCATCCCGCGTCTTAAATGATCGGTAGGGCACAATTGATGGATGCGCGGTTCCCCAGCGACCCGAGTCCTTCTTCCCACTGACGAGGCAGCTGCTGGCAATGTTGGCCAGCGTCGCCGTCTGGCAATCGCTCAACGAAACATCAATGTGTTGTCCCCTGCCAGTCTTGGCACGGGCCAGCAGTGCGGCCATGATGCTGTTGCTCGTGTACAGGCCCGTCGTCAGGTACGTCACGGCGACACCGACCTTGACGGGCGGGCCGTCACGGCTGCCGGTGATGTGCATGAAGACCCAAATTCGGCCTCGACCATGACATCATACCCGGCACGGTTAGAGTAAAGGTCCCGTCTGGCCATAGCCCGTGATCGACGCGTAAATGAGGGCAGGATTGATGGCCCGTAACGTGTCGTAGTCGAGTTTGTACTTCTTCAGCGTCCCTGGGAGGTAGTTTTCGACGAGAATGTCACAGCCGGCGACCAGCTTGTGGAGGATCTTGGTGCCGCTGGGATGCTGAAAGTTGAGGCCCAGGGACTTCTTGTTGCGGTTCACCTGGACATTGTCAGCACAGGGAAAGCCATGACAGTTGTCACCAGACTAATGCTCACGGCAAGAAAGTAAGCCGACTCCCCGGGTCCTTTTTGTGTTGAGCCTTCCTTGTAGGTGGCATAAGGCGGTCCCCAGGCGCGGGTATCATCGCCTCGAGTGGGATGCTCGATCTTGATGACCTCGGCACTGAGATAAAGTCAGAAGCGGGGTCGAGATGAATGTTCACAAGGCAAGCGTACCCTAGGTCACCGAGGATTTGCGTACAATACGGCTACTATTGTTAGTGGAAGGCCATATAGAATGTCGGGGAATGTTTCTTACACCAGCAAGAACTCTGGTCATGTCCAGTACACGGTACCCTTCAAGGGGGAGGTTGCTCGTTGGCGCAGAAGACTTCCATCTTCGGCATGGTGCCTGGAAAGACAAATATGACCAGGATTGAGGTCTAAGGCTCACAAGAGCACGTGAGGGTCTCAGAACTGGATTTATCATGCTGTTCGAATTCGGAAAAGCCTTGCATAGACCTGACAATATGGGAGGTTTGAGGATGTGAGGTGTGTTTCCGCGACAAGAATACACACACGGTGGCGCAGGGGCTCCAGTCAGATGCGGGGAGACACCCGCGCCGAGGTCCACCTCCACCCACAGTGGCATCCCACAGGCCCATGGCGCTACGACTGCAGGCTACATTGTACATTTGAGCATAGATTATTCGATGAAGTGGAAGTAATCAACTATTACTAGCTACCTACCCACCATGTCGACTTAACTTAGTCCCCACCACCCAACCATAGCACTTCAGTGTCGCGGCCTCGCGCAGAAGGATCTCGCGTGTGACAGAACGATCACCTCCTCGTTACGATACTCACCCTTCTTCATGACGCACAGGAAGACGCGATGTCGGCCCCTGGTCGGTCGAACTAGTCAGTCAGTCGAACTGATCCAATCAGCACTGCCCAACCGCGAGTTCGACTGTTGACCACGATGATGACCCAAGATGGGGTCCGGCCGATCATGAAATCCTGCGAAACTCAAACCCACCTGCACGTCTGCGATACCTTTCACTCGAGCCTCCAATCAAGCATTATGGCAGTAGAGATCGTAGTCAATACCGATGAGAGCAGATCAATCCTTTGATGCAACACGCACTGGGCCCTCGCTGACTTCTCCCAGTGCTTCCGAGCTATGAGACTGGGGCACTTGGTGAAACGGTGTGCACCTAGCCAATTGCCAAGAAGATACTCGCTTGAGAAGATGCAGCCCTACCGTTGAGATTGATGCGAATAGCACGAGGTAGAGCTGACGCCTTGTCATTCACGATCCCCGAACTGTTGAACTTGTATACGAGCTCAGGGCACCCCCGGTTCTGAGCGGGGCTGTCTTTCGGCCGTTCCTAAAATACCCTTTCGCCCCCGCCCCCATAACCCTTGTCAAGGATACAAGGCCTAATGGTGCCACCGTGAACAACTGTGAGATCTAGTAACGGGCAATCTAGCGCTGTTGTAGTTGGGAATCCGACCTTTGCGTGTCTTGTCGTTGTTGATGAAGAGTACCTGTGTTACGTCTTTCCTCAAGCGTCCAGTCGAGGATTCTCTTGAAGCATAGATGGGGGAAATGCATCTGAGAGAAACGAATGCACAGGAGGCAAGACGATAGGCCGCCTACTAGGTCCTCATGCGACAAGCGGGAACAATGCGCCCGGGAGTTCGTGATCCTTTGCGCGCTTGGGGGTGGCTGGCAGCCGTGGCGCGCGATCGAGAGCCGGAAATCTTGACGAGCCGATGCCAGATGAGAACGCCAGATCAAGGGACCACTCTGGCGACCTTTGCTACCAGTCATTCGCGGTAAAGGTACTGGGTTGCTCAACACGAAAATGGGCACACCCCCGCCTGGTGCGCCTGCTCCGCCTCGCGGAAGCGGCTACTTGTTGAGGTGATCCTGCGGCCCTCTGCATTGGCCACGAACTCGGCCGACTCAGCGCAGCATTCGATAGGCGGCAAGGAGGGTGAATGCAACGGTCGCCCAATTATAGCACTTCGACTTTGTACGCGGCCTTGGCTCAATGACCACGGTTTGCTCAGCGAGTTCACATCATCACCTTATCGCCCGTTAAGTGGG